AGTCATGAAGATTTTGTCTCTGGTCTAAGAGAATAGAAGCTGCTACTTTTAGACTAAGATTAAAGAAACTCCCCGAAGAGTACTTAGAACAAACAGCTAAATATATAGGAAAAAAAACCCCAAAACAATAGAACAGTGGAAAAAATGTTTCTAAAATATAGCTAGCTAGCTAGTGATAGGCAGAAAGATAGATAGATAGAAGATAGATTAATATGATGATTACTGAGAAAAGCAGAGTTTTTATTTCCAGAGATATTGACTTAAAACAGCAACCAGTGAGAGGTCAAGCATGTTCTACAAAAAAAGAATAGCAAAAACAATATGCTGTGAATATAAGCAACATGTATGTATGCAATATGCTATTGTCATGTGTGAAGGCTGCCTTGGGTGTGACAATTGAAGCGAAGAAATTCTTTTTGGTACCAGGAGTTGAACTCAGGACCTTGCACTCACCAGGCATATGCCTGTGCCACTGAACTATATCCCTGGATTTTGAAGCAAAGATTATTTATTTATTTATTTTCAAATCCATTTTATTCTTAGATAAAAAGAAAGAAAGAAAGAAAGAAGAGGAAAAACTACAACAAAATTTAAAATTACATCAATTGGAGTAACAATGGTACATACATTGCGCATTGTCATCCCCAAATCATTCAACCAGAGTGTAAGACATTTGCCTTCAATTATTTGAACAACACCAGTATTGATCTTTCTCTTCAGCAAACTCAGAGAAATCAGTAGTATAACTATCTTAACAATTTTTATACATGTACATACACGTATATATGTTTTTCCATTCAGTTTCTCACACTAATGAAACAATATAATGTTTACACATATGTGTCTTATTATTTCACTAATGAGTATGTTCTCAAGGTGTATCCAGTTACCTATAAAAGTGTCCCGTTTATCCATTCTTTATGGCTGAGTAGTACTCCATTATTTAAAAATACCACATCTTTTTATCGATCCCTCAGTTGATAGGCATTTAGGTTGTCTCCAAGATCTGGCTATTATAAACTGTGCTGCTATAAATATGGGTGCACATATATCACTGTGGTATGATGCTTTAAATTCTTTTGGGAAAGTGCCCAGAAGGGGGAATTGCTAGGTTGAATGGGACCTCCAATCGTAGTTTTCTGAGGAATCGCCACACTGATTTCCACGGTGGTTGCACCAGTCTGCATTCCCACCAACAGTGGAGAAGTATTCCTTTTTCCCCTCAGCCCCTCAGCATTTGTGATTGGTTGATTTTTTGTTACTAGCCATTTCTTCTGGGGTGAGGTGGAAGCAAAGATTATTTTTGTTGTAGAGTTAGTTCTATTAGTATTTTCATTGTAGATTATATAGGAATTTATTGACCTGATGAGGTAGCACATGCCTGTAATCCCATCACTTGAGAGGCTGGGGCAGGAACATCACTGTAGTTTGAGGCCAGCTTGGGCTACAAACTGCGTTCAAAGCAAGCCTAGACTGCATAGTGAAACCCTGTCACAAAAGGAGAAAAACAAACAAATGTGGGAATTTATTTGCTTTTATTTGTTAGACTTCTTACACCAAAAAACAGTGGATGTTGAAAAATTTGATGCTTTTTTTTTTTTTTTTGTACCAGGGATCCAACTCATGACCTTGCACTTGCCAGGCAAATGCTTATGCCACTAAACTAAATCTCTGTCCCTTTGATACTTTTTAAAATTTACACTCAATAGTTAATAAAAATTCAAAACTTTAATTTTTGATTTTTTCCTATTAAGTACTCATTGTTTTATAAAATTCACAGAATTAAAATTAAAAATTTATCAATAGAAGCACTTCTAAAGAACACATATAGGTTTTGTACACCCTTCAGTATGCTCATTTTACACAAAATTGTCATGATGCTTCTGTGGCTACAAAGCCAAGGGTGGGGGATGGAAGGCAATGAGGAAAAAGATTGAGATGTGTTATATACATTCCCCACAATGAAGGTAATCATTATGTACTGTCAACATGTACTAAAAACTTAAAAATTTAAGACAAATGTTTTGAACTCTGCATTGAGAAAATGGTAAGGTCGTATGAGCTGTCTTGATTCATAAAATCTTTGCTGCTGGGGAGAGGGAGAGGAGGACCATGGGAGAAGAAGGAGGTGAAAGAAACCATTTAGAGAAACTGGAGCTTAACAATAGTATGACTTCATAGAAGCAATATAGTAGTAGTTATAAAGGTATAAGCTAACAAGTTAGGAAAGGTTTAAATGCAGGAAAAAATTACAGGACACATTCTTTAGGCAAAGAAGACAAAAGTTGCCAAGATGGAAGATTAAACTCCCTCAGTTACTCTCACCTTTACCTTCACATAATTATCCCTATGTCCAGATACCACCTATAGTAAGTAAAATTTTTAAAAAATTGAGATGAAATTTGCATAATATATAATTAATCATTTAAAAATTAATCATTTTAAAGTTTATATTTTGATGACATTTTGTACATTCATAATGTCATGCAAGGCCACCCCATTTGGACTTCCTCCTGGAATTTTAGGAGCTATTCTTCTCTTTATTTCCAATATGAACAAAACAATATTATGTAACCTCTCCATTACTTCTAAAATATTTTCATGTTCACCTTATATTCACCCCAAAAGAAAATCCTATACATTGGGTAGTCTCTAATTTCCCCTTTTCCTACTGATTGATAATCACTAGTCTGTTTTCTGTCTACATGGATTTACCTATTCCGAATATTTCATATAAATAAACTATGCAAACTGGGTGTGGTAGTGCATGCCTATAATCGTACCACCCCCAGGAAGGTGAGGCAGGATGGAAAATTCAAGCCCAGCCTGGGCAATTGAGCAACTTATCAAAATCCTGCCTCAAAATAAAAAACAAAAATGGCTGTGATGTAGCTCAGGGTGAAAGCTGTTGATCCATACCTCAGTTCCAAAAATAAATAAATAAATTATACAATATGTTTGTGTCTGAGTTCTTTCACTTAGCATAATGCTTTTGAAATTCGTCCATGTTGGAGTATCAGCACTTCATTCCTTTTATGACTAAGATTCCACTATACAGATATATCACTTTTGTTTATCCAGTCCTCTGTTGATGGATATTTGGGTTGTTTTCACTTTTTGGTTATTACGGACAGAGCTGCTATGAACATTCATGTAAAGTGGGGTTTTTTGTGCTTGTTTTCCATTTTTTTTGTTTATCGAGACAGAATTTCACTATGTATTTCAATATGGCCTTGAACTCACAATGATCTTCCTGCCTTAGTCTCCCAAAATACTGGGATTACAGGAATGCAACACCAATTTTGACCTCAATTTTTTTTAGATATATACCTATTAGTAGAATTTTTGGGTCACATAGTAATTCTGCTTTTAACTTATTTAATAACTATCAAAGTTTTTTACAACAGCTGTACCATTTTATGCTTCTATCAGCAATGAAAGAGAGTTCTACTTTATATTTTGAGGGTACTACACCTTTAACAAATATGATTCATAAATTTTGTTTTCTTTTTTGAGACAGGGTCTTGCTGTGTATATGTAGTTCAGGCTGTCTTTGAACTCATTACTTACCCCAACCAGCCTCCTACTCATGGCAATCCTCCTGCCTCTGCCTCCTGCCTCCCAAGCACTGACATCACAGGTGTGCTCCATCAAGCCCAGCTGAACTGATAAGTATTTTTTTTTAATCTCTCTTCCTATATTAACTTTTTCAATATGTCCTGGAACTACTTTATTTTTTCTGAAGAACTTGACAATAAATACCCTTGCCACTTGGACCTCTTAGTGCCTTCAATTACTTGATGTTTCTTAAACCATATGGTAAGTACCCAGATATCAATTTTATCAATATTTCGTTTCATTATTTCAACATACAGGTTATATTCACTCTTTGTATGTTTTTGCATAAAAATTTTAAAAGGTTGACAATATTGTTTCTTCTTCTATTTGTCCTTCCTTTCATTGACATAGAGCTAGAACATATTTGCTTCTTAATCTTATTCACAGTTGCTGCCTCTTAAATCTTTTGTAATAATTTCTTTGTGTCTTCTGAAATAATAATACCTTTGGTCTCTGTCCTATTCCTAGCCTTATTCTACTGCAGTGATGTCACTCATGATTCATCTGGGTTTTTTTAAAAATGCAGATGACTACTTAACTTGATTTCCAAACCTCAATCCTCACACATTTTATATCTTCAAGTATATAGTATTGCCAGTCAATGCCAGTTGTACTTTTGCTATTGATCCATCTTTTTTTCCCAGCCCAGTTTCCCATTTCTTCAAATCGCATCACTTCCATTCTCATAACTTTGTAGTAATTATTGACCCTGCTCTCTCCTCACTTGTCTGATTGGTTATGTCTTGTGATTTCTTTTTTGAGATTCAGAGTACCAAGTATTTATTGAGAGAAAGAAAGCTTCTAAGAGACACAGAAGGGGGTCCCAAGTAGGTGGACCTGATTTCTATTTTAAATACATTTCATTTCACTCAATGGCCATCTCCTTACTACAGGGTATTAATAGTCCTTTACTTGAATGTACTCCCACTCTCTCTCCTCTCTCTGGTTATAACAGATACAATGTGTTGCAAGCGATGCTAGATAAGAAAGTTAACTTTGGCAGTGTAGAATGGAGACAGGAGGGTGTCCAAGAAGGGGATGAAATCGAGGACAGTGGCAATGGGCTTCCGTACTGCCGACCATAAAGCTGACTGGTGATCAGTTAGAGCTGGAAGGGCTTACCCACGCTAACACTGTATTTTACTCGCCTAAATGATGGGTCCAAGTGAGCTTTTGTTAAGCGAGCAATGCCTGGGATTCTCTTAGAGCTGTCACCCACACCGTGCGGCCAACCAGCCTCCATCAGACCGCGGATCCCAGATTGGCCACCAGGGGCTCTCTAGCTGACGTCTCTATGGTTCCAGGAATCGCCGGCTTTTGGTGTGCCGGGATTGGCTTTTGCGCGTGCGCGAAGCAGGCGTGTGCTCGCCCTCTCCAGCGTCTGTCTCCGCGGGTGGGAGGGGTGGGTCTGGTAAGGCTGAAGCGGCGGTGGCCGCGGACCCTGTGCCCGCGGCTGTTCCCTGGGAGAGCGTGCGGCGCGGAGTCCTCCGTCGCCTTCTCTGGCTGCCGGGCCAACTGGCCTCAGATGGTGGGTCCGGAGGATGCCGGACCCTGCTCGGGAAGAAACGTCAAGTTGCTCCCGGTGCCGGTGCTCGAGCCAGTGGGCCAGGACAGGAAGATGAGCCGGGCCACGGGCGGCTTCAGCGGAGGCGTCGGAGCTGTAGAGCCGCCAGGGGCTGAGGAAGAGGAAGAAGAGGAGGAGGAGGACGAGGAGGAGGAGAGGCAGCCTCCGCAGCTCCTTGAGCGTTACCTCGCCGCGGCCGGGAGCCGGTTGGAGCCGGGGCTCTGTTATTGTGTCCTGCCTGCCGGCCAGGCCGGCGCCCCATCATCCTCGGTCACCCCGCACTGGAACGCCCGCCCGCCGGGCCCGGGCTCCAAGCTCCGAGGCTCAGAGGTGGCGGGTGCCCGCTCGCCGCGACACGGAGGCATGACCAACGGGGATTTGGGCTTTCTGCCGCGCCAGGACCGTGGTGAGCTGGAAGAGGCTAGCGGGCTGGCTCGCGCCGATGACCCTCAGTTGTGCGGCCGCCGTCCCTGCCCGTACAGCCGCTTGCGCCTCCAAGGGCCTGGAGAAGAGGGTGCGGACGACGCGGGCACCGCGGAGGACTGGGCCGCGCCCTTGGAGGACCCGCTGCGGAGCTGCTGCCTCGCGAACGTGGACGCCAGAAAGCCCGAGGGCCCAGGCGGTGCTGCCTCGGGTTCTGAGGAGGGCGCGCCCCCAGCCTCCCCCTTGATCCAGAGAACTAGTGGAGGCGCGGAGGTGGTCCACGGTTGCCCGGACGTTTGCTCAAACTCACGGAACACATTCGAGGTGTGCCGCCGCCAGAGCGCAGGCGACCACCTGACCTCGGCAGGGCTGCCGGCGTCCTCGCCCACTGCGGAGCAGGAGCCTGGGGGTACCTCGGCCTGGGCTCGGCGGAGCGGCGGCTTAGCCGACTTCCTCGCCAGGTACTGCGCAGACTGCGCGGGGGTCGGGTCGGGTCGGGTCGGGTCGGGTCGGAGCTGGCCTGGGAGCTGGCGCGCGCGGCTGGGAAGGAAGGCGGCTTCCGTGTGGCCCCAAGCGCTTCGGGACGTCTGTCTGTGATTTATCTCTAGGGATGAGGAACTGGGACCGCATTGTTTCTGTGGGAATCCTTGCGAGCACTACCGGGAGCACATCTTTATGTCGCCCGGTTGGTTGTACACTTCTGGTTTCTGTGCATTTTGGTCCGGTTAACCTGCCGGTGGCCTATCTGCTGCTGCTGCTTTTGGAGAAGCTGATAACCGCGGCTCGTATTCTTTTTTGAACTTTTAAGGGTTTGGATGGGGTGAAGGCGGTATATGCGTACGGGAGTGGTTATTAAAGAAAAAGGAAACTCATCTTGCAAAGCTGTTTATTTATGTGGAGTCTAAATCCACTCAAGTAAGTGCAAATTACTGAAATAGAAGTATTTTATGGTGTTTTAATTATTTGTATCAGTGGTCTGAAACACTGTGTATACGCGCTAGCCTCGAATTCACAGACGTCCTCCTGCTTCAGCCTGCGGAGTGCAAGGATTACAGGCGTGCGCCACCGCGCGCTCCCAGTTAGATCCAGTGGTTTTTTGTTTTGGTTTGGTTTTTTTGTTTTTGTACTAGGAATCTAACTCAAGACCGTTCGTTCATCAGGCAGGCACCGTCTATATCCCTGGCTACATCTAGTCTTTTAAGCCAAATTACTGTCGCCCTTTTTATGTAGGAAATCCCTCACTTTCCTGCTTATGCCAAATCAGTCTCTCTCTTTTTTTTTTCTACCACCTTTTCAATCCCCAAACTGGAACTTGAACCCAGTGCCTTAATCCTGGTAGGTAAGGGCACTGCCATAGAGCTACATACCCATCCTTTAACGACCAATTTTTAATTTTGTCATGTTTTATTTCTGATTTGACAAATTAAAATTGATGTTTTTCAAATTAAATTGTGCTAGACATTGCAGATTTCAAAATGGGGTTTTGTTGGTTTAATAGGGACAGAGAAATAGTTGGAAAATATTTATCTTAATGCACATTACTGAAAAAACAACTTCTTTTGAGTTATATTTTTACATGGCTTTTAAAAAATTTCCAGAAAAGTGTTCTCAATTTAAAAATTTTTTTCTTTTAAAAGTTCTTTTTCCTCTGTTTTTATTCCCGTTTCAAGGATATTGACTCTGTACCTACAAGTGAAAACAAATTCTGCTATTGAGGTTTTCAGAAGGTTATACAATTAGTGTATATATTTGTAGATACAAAATCACACTTCCTTATTCCTTATTCTTTCTGCTTGTATAAATTTACAAACAAACTATACTTAAATCAAGTGAGAAATTTAATTTTATGTTATAGGACAACATATATAATATTTGGATCTTTATTTATGCCTGTAGTTGCAAAAATACATTTAAAGCTTGCAGTGGTGATATTCTCAAAGGTCTCAAAGAGAGTTGATTTATGAATTTATGACACTTTGTGGTATTTGGGTGTTTATTGGTTATTCCAAGTTAGTCATATTTTGAGTTCAGATGTCAAACACTTTTAGACCTAGCAAGAGCTTGAAGATCACTCATTCAACCAGTATATCTTGTGTGTTTGCTTTGTGTCAAGCATTGAGAATAGTTGTATTTGGGTAATGATTTCTGACCTGGAGATGCAGTGCAGGGTAGTGTGGATTAAATTGGAAAAACAGCTGCATTACAGTTTACGGGAAATACCAAGACAAATTTATCCTCTTTCATCTTATTAGCAGTAGGTAGAAATTTTCATCAAACTGTTAAGTGTTCTTTACTTCTAGATTAATAGAACTTTCATTCGTATAGCTAGATGATTTTCATAGGGCCACAATATTTATATTTACCAGAGCATTGGATGTGAAGACAAAATATTTAGGTGCTATAAAGCTAATTTCTTGAGTGCTAAATACTAAGCCGATAGAAATGATCGATTTCTTTACATGACATTCTTAGAAAAGAGCATAGTCAGAGGCATGATTTTTCTCTTAGTATTTAGCTAAAACTTTAGATTCTGAGCACTTTAGGCAAAAATGGTGACTTATTTATTTTGAGATAGTGTTTCCCTGTGTAGTTCAGATTGGCTTTGAACTCACTATATAGCTCAGGCTGCCCTTGACCTTGTGTCCATACTCTTGCCTCAGCCTCCTGAGTGCTGGAATTACAGACATGTGCCACCATGCCTGGCTCAGTGGGCAACTTTTATTGACTCCTCTTTCTCTAGGGAATATAATTTCTGAGCAAACCCTCCATCTTTAAGCAACGTAATCTGAAGTTACCCTTGTCCTAGCAACTCAAAAGGTTTTTGTTTTCTTCCTCTGTACAGTTGTCATTCACAGCTCTGAAGCGCTGAGTGAGGGTTCCCTATAGGGTTGCCATGTGTTGGAATTGATTGTTGTACTTAGGTATAGCTCCTACTCACATGTCAAATTTTAGGTGAGGAAACTCACTACTTAGAGAAGATAGCTAGTATCAGACTGGAGTTAGTCACTGCGTTAGTTCACTTCATGACTTTTGTCGTCCACCTAGCACAAAGGATAAACCTTTCTGCTTCTCACCTCTTTCGATTTCTACTTTTTCCCTTAACTGGTCAAAAAAAAAAAAAAAAGACAAATGTATTTTAAAGTTTGTTGTAAGTGAAAAGGGGACCATTTTATGGCATTTTGTCGCTTATAGAGAGGTATATTCAATTAAGGCTAATTGTTGGGTACAGTGGTGCATGACTATCATTTCAGCTGCTCAGGAGGCTGAGGCAGGACAATTGCAACTTTGAGGCCAGTCTGGGCAACTTAATGAGGTCTGCCTCAAAAATGAAATGAAATAGTTAGAGATGTAGTTCAGTGGTAGGTTGTTCTCCTAGTATAAGGCCTTGGGTTCAATCTCTAGAGTGGATATGAGGGGACACATGACGGATAGCAACTTCAATGACTAGGGTAAATGTCACATAAAAGACACAGGAATTTGCTTAGGATGGGTTTGTTCTCATTTTAGAGGGTCTCAATTGTTGTCTCCAGCTTTACTTTCTTTTTGGATAGGGTGAATTCTATTTCACTCCCTGTTGGGAATTTGCTTTTTGTGGGTACCTTCCTGTGTCTTTGTTGTGACAGAAGCTTTAGAGGTAACCTTTCCTCAGATCCTTGAGCCTTTCCTCTGTGTGAAAATTCAAATGATAGATGTCTATTACTACCTCCTATCTCTGTTTTCAGGCTAAACTTTGTTTCTCAATGATCTATTTCTCTGAAAAAATAAATGACTTTAAATTGTATTTTGTGGATCTTTTAAGAAAATTCATGACTTAATTGCTGGTTCTGGAATTAAACTGCTTGTACTGTGTTTGAATTAACCTACTAGCTGTGTAATTCTGAACCACTGTGAACCTTAGCAAAGCATCCATAAAATGACGATAGTACCTGCCTGATGGGATTATCATGAGGATTAAGTGAGATAATATTCTAAAAGTGCTTTGTAGTTACTGTAGGACCCAGTGAGGACTCAAGTGTTATTTTTCACACTGTAGCAAGACAGTTGTAATCCCTTCTACAATACTACCACTGAAATCTACTGACTTACAGGAAAGACTGGAATGAATTTTTTTGTACCGAGAAAACTATACAACTTTATGTAGTAGGAGATTTTAAAACACAAAATCTTTGTACATAGGATAGGGTGGGTGTTAAACTGAATTCAGATGTGGTGATGTAAAATTTCCTGAATTCTGGAGCTTTGACTAAAAAGCAAATCTGAGAAGGAACTGAAAAGAAAGAATGTGGTGAAAGATTGAAATATTCGTATCTTTTATTGTTTTAAGGAACTTTTATAGACATGCAAAGCCAAGTTTTTAGTTGAAGTTTAGGAAATATTTAACTTGGCCTACTTGTAAATTTCATGTTTATTCTGTTGTGGGAAGTTTTGGGGCAAAGAATGGAAACATTTGGAGATTTGAGGCAAAGTATCTGTTACTCATCTTTCAACATATTCAGAAGTAGAAAGCAGGGCTCTCTTTCTGTTTTTTTCTCACTCTCCCCTCCCCCATACTGGAGATTGAACCTATTCTATCACATAACTATATCCTGAGTCTTTAATTTTTAGTTTTGGGGCAGGTTCTCACTAAGTTGCCCAGGTTGGCTTGAGCTTGAGATCCTTCTACCTCAGTCTTCCAAGTTACTGAGCTACATACCCTACAAACAAGTTCACTAAAAAAAAATCGAACATTTTATTGGTACATTCTACATATACATAATAACAACATTCATCATAAGGAGTTTGTATCTCTGTATATATTTTGTTTTTTTTTCCCCATTCCCTTCTCCTTGCTTTGACCCCTTTCCCACTTTATTTATAAAAGCTTTGTTTTCATTTTTTACTTTGATTCTTTTTTTCTTCCCTTCTTTTCTTTCTCCCTTCTCACTCTAAACAAGTCCATTTTGGGATCATTTACTTCCTAGGAACTGTATTGGCTATGTTAAGAGTTGTCCCCAAACAATTCTGGTTGGTAGTAGCATGGCCCCTACTACTTAAATTTCAGTTTTTAAAATTACTTGGAAGGAAGGAGAGTTATTAAGAATGTAGATTCTCCCCAATAAATTGAAGAGGTAGGATGTTGCAACAGACTCAAAACCAAAAACCAGCTACAGCTGGAAGACATCTCTGAGTGTCATTTCCTAAGGGTTTTAAATATTTTTGGCAATAAAGCAACTCACCACAGGCAGTTTACAAGCATCAAACCAGGAATTTAAAAAAAATGTAGATTCTTTGAGGCTCCAGTTTTGAATCAGTAGATTATAGGTGGAGTCTACCAGGAATTGAAAATTTAATATCACCTTCATCTTGTATTTGATGCAGGTGTTTCGTAAGCTGAAATCATGGAAATATTGGTCTAATTGATAGGCAGATTTCCCTAAGTAGTAACAGAAGATATAACACATAGAGCTCACAATGCTTTATT